TGTTGTGGATTTTTAAAAGGTACCAGAGAGAAGCAATCAGCTAGTTTAGGCATAACGTTTTCTACCAGGGAGAAATAATATAGGTTGCACAATAGCCCACATGAGAAAAAAAAAATCATTTTTACCTGTTGTGCTCTCAAAGTAAGTATGCACTTATTCATGGTAATTTTAAAATTCGCTCTTAACCATCTCAGAATACTTTCAATGCAAAATTGTGCCCTCAAATTACCACTGCTAAAATAAAATGTAATTTGCTAAGGACAATCATGTTTGAAAAAAAAAATCTACCTGAAGCACAACTCAATGGGTTCTGCCACAGTCGGTCAACATTTTCCATTTTGCTTATTTTTGCCACTTCCCTTAGCATGGGCTATTTGTGTTAGTGCCTGTTTTCTAACATCTGTACCTGCACCCACGTAAATGGAAGAATATATTTCTCATATGATAATGGAAAGTCTTTACTTAACACTTTCAACTTGACCTTGCCTAGACTGAAGGGAAGCGCTGAAGCGGAAGCTAGTCATCTCTGCCTGCTGCCGACAGGTGGCGGTAGCAGTCATGCAAGGTTCTTTTAGTCTTTGCTCAGCTGCTCCACTGCGGTGATTCTCAACTAGCCAGGCATCATCCTTGTGGTGTCTGTGCTAGGTTTTAAGATATGTACAGACATTAACCCGAAAGCCTGTCTTTTAAGTACAAAACTAAAGGCAGGTTTGAATGTGGTGATAAAAAGTATAAGATGACATAAGATGACAATGACAATAGTAGAAACCGAAAAATGATAAACATAGCACTTGTGGTGGAACACACTATTCTAAGACCTGAATGGCTGGCTGCAAAGGACAGTGCATATGTACTAAGTGCTGTATCTAAGCAGTGAACAATAGTAAAGCAAGGAAAATAACTGAATAACTGATAGTATGTAGAAACAAAACAACCCAAAGCAAAATAAAACGCTTTTTTTCTGCCGTTAGGGAATAAACCCCAGTGTCAAGTGGCAACTAGTCACATGACAATTAACTTAACATTAATGCAGGAGAGGCTAGGATTTGTTGGAGATTTAAAGCAGTGGTTGTCAATCTTAACTGCACACTAGAATCACCTGGGGAGCTTTTAAGACTCCCGAAGCCCAGGCCAATAATCAGAATCCCGAGGGGTGGGACTCAGGCATCAGCAGTGTTGAAAGCTCTTCAGGTGATTTTAATGTGCACCCAAGGTTAAGAACCATTGCCTTCAAATCTAAGCATGGGGAAAATGGGTTGCTACAGGTTCCATGGATTAAAATCTATTTGGATGTACAAATCGATGTGTGTGATGAGTGTTAATACCTTGGCAAGAATTATTTCCCTATGACATTTGTATCTTCAAGGAGAGAATCACCTGCCTTGAGGGATTTTTCCTTTTATAGTCTTGAAAACCGTATGGGTGAGAACATGTATTGCCAAGGAATAACAAGAGTATGCCTTTCATATACCTATTTGAAGAAAATGTATCCCAGAGCCACAAGCATCAACATCCCTTAGTCATTTCAGTGAGTCCATTTATAAAAAAGTGGACACAAAAAAATTTTCAAAACTATAGGAGTTTCTAGATGCCAGCACCTTTCCCTCACTTTCATCTTTAAAAGATTGCTGGGCACAGTGGTTCACGCCTGCAATCCCAGCGCTTTGGGAGGCTGAGGCAGGTGGATCACACGCTGAAACCCCGTCTCTACTAAAAATACAAAAATTAGCTGGGCTTGGTGGCAGGTGCCTGTAATCCCAGCTACTAGGGAGGCTGAGGCAGGAGAATCACTTGAACCTGGGAGGCGGAGGTTGCAGAGCCAAGATCGCATCATTGCACTCTAGCCTGGGCAACAAGAGCAAAACTTTGTCTCAAAAAAAAAAAAAAAAAAGGATTAATTGCTGGCCTACCCACGCTCTCAATGTAATCTGGTTACCTTCCATCATTAACAACCAAGTTTTACAGGAAAACAAATGCATGGTTTAGTCCTCAGTACAAACCCCCAGGCCCTTCTTGTTGCAGCCCCATTTTACCTTATCTGCCATTATCATAGAGGAGCCCCCGTGGATGCCCAGGATAGGGGTGAGAGTCTGTGCAGAAATGAAATCGAGGATCTGGGCGATGGCTTCCTGGTCTGTGTCATCAGCAAACACCACCCCCTGGATCTTCCGGTCAGACATGAGATCACAGATGCGGGTGATGATGCTCTTTGGGTCGGTCTCATTCATGGCTACCAGTTCCACCCGAGGCACCACGGAGAGATGGTGGAAATCATCTTTCTCGTGGGCATCCTTGATGGCCACCTCGTCGGAAGTGCCCACGAGGATGACAGCAATGCCAATGCTGGGGGGGCTCTTCTGAGAACGAGCTCTGCTGCCTGACACGGCCAGGACAGCCAACACCAACCAGAACTTGGGAGAACAGCACTCCGCTCTGGGCTTCATCTTCAACTCGTCGACTCCCTGCAAACACAAAGAGAGAGGGAGTTAAAATAGGACCCACACCATGTAACCTGTCTTAGAAGAGGCTAGCTACTGCAATTCAAGGACCTTATCTCCTTTCATTGAGCACCAAACCCAACTCCATCTACCAGCCTACTGTCTTATCTCTGGTATTTCCTCTGCAGAATGAGAGAAAATGAAACTTTCAAGAACCTCAGAAATCCCTGAGCAAGGCAATAAAAGGTGCTATTGCTATAGTCATTGGCAGCTACAGACAGAGACAAAAGAGGAAAAGAGATTGTGAGTGGTCCAGGTAGCCATGCGAGTATGCATACACAAGTCTCCTGGCCCTCCTGTTACAGCCCACCCTAGTACTGTTCTTGGGCTCAGGGACAGCAAGGCCAGGCAAAGTGAGCATAAAAACATACTCAGCAGAGGTGAGCAACAGAACATGGGCTGGATAAACTGGATGTGGGGGGGCTATAGGTACACAAGCCCTGCATTCTTGCTGCCTTCACCTTATGTTTGCCTCAATGAGGACGACAGCCAGAAAATTCTTTAGTAACCTTGTTAGTATCTGGCTCTTAATATTAAATTACAAGAACAACTGATACTTGACTAGTATTTTTAAAACATTGCCTCAATTGATCCTTACAATGACCCCGTAGGGAATAAAATAAGAAAAACATTATCATCCCCATTTTATAAATGTTGACACCAAGGCTCAAAGAAGATAAGTGTTCTAAGACCATGTACCAATCAATTAAGTGAAACAAACCTGAACCCAGATCTTCTGACTTTTGTATTCCAATATGTGTTCCATTACACTACATGGAACTGCCTCTCATATAACCAATTATCATAAGGAACACATATTACTCTGATCTATTTATGCACCAAAATACAGAAACTTAAATACCATTAGCAGCCACATTTGAAAAATGTTCTTTTTTTTTTTTCTGCTGCCATCCTATAGCCACGACTTCTCTAAAATGACTGATGCCGTATTTTCATATAATTTCATATAATTCATATAATTTCATATAATTTACCACCTTTTACCTACAAAGAACTCCTTCTTTTTTACTTCCACATATGACCCAAATCTTACTCTATGCAGCAGACTAAGGACATAACGCTCTATAGAATATAAGCCTTGGCCATCTCTCTCTAAGCTTCTCATCATTCTCCAAGAGCTCCTCTTAATATAACTAGTTCTGCTTATGTTGCTTTATTTTAAATAATCAATGTTCACTATTCGGGTGACAGCTACACTAAAAAGCCCAGATTTCACCACTATACAATATATCCATGTAACAAAAGCACGCATGTACTGCCCAAATCCATAAAAAATTTAAAAAAATTTAAAAATCATTTATTGTACATCTTTTTATGCTGCACACTGTGTTAGGCATTTTGTCATATACAATCTCTCTGATCTTCATGGACACCCTATAAATTAGACATTTTATTCCCATTTATCAAGTAGAAAAACAGAAGCTCAACACAGTTATGTAATTATCCAAGGTCAACGGCATTATAACACCAGCATGCCAATACATAAACACAGCATTTTAATACTCCAAGGCAATATTCTACAAACTGCACCCAGAACCAAAACCAGATTCGCATTCTTCTACAAAGAGAGAGACAGCATGCAATCAAGGATAAAAATGCTGCTTCAGATCTCCTGCTTGTTTCAAAAAAAAAAAAAATGGTAAGAGATTAAAAATCTAAAAATGTTGAGAGATTAGCTAATTTTAAAAATCATGAAGGTATTGAATAAAGAAAGATAAGGAAGTGTTCGGGCTGAGCAGTCAGTCTTGACTGCAAAGGGTGTTAATGATTCGGGAGCAAGATGCTGGGGACATTTTGTGGCTGAAGAAGCACAAAATCCAATCCAGTTCTTGGCATAAAACATTTTGGAACTTTTACTGGTGTAGTCATCCTTCAACACTGCCAAGAAGGAGGCCTGTATTGATTGCCTTGTCTTTCTCTCACAAATAAGATGAGTAGCTCAGTGGTTCATGCCTGAGCAAAGTTTACTCCTGAAAGTTTTCTGATCTCAGTGTCTCTGTGAAAACAGAGAATGACTCCACAAGCCCTGGAAACCTTTGCTGATGGACTGTATCCAATTTAGCAGGGGAACCAGGGCCTGAATTCCTCCTCCCAGAACTTAAAGGAAAGCAACACTAGATAGACAATTGAGTAGGACTGATATTCAGAGGAAGCAGAAGGGGTTTAGCACCACAAAGAGCTGTGCACAAACTACATACACACACACACACACACACACACACACACACAGAGTTCAATTCCAATGACTGGTTCTCAAGGAAAGCCAAAAGATTTACCATTTGGCAAAACTATAGGCTAACTTCATTCCAGTGGTATTCTAATCCTAGTTACAAGTCACTAAATTAGTTTCCTTCACATTTAAAAGTGACCCACTCTGCCATGACAGTTTATTAACTTTAATGCACTCCACTCTCCCACTTTGATGTTTTATTTGCTCTCTAAAATATCTCTTGTGTTCTTCTATTTTGTCTCACACAATATATTATCTTTGGCTATGCAATGGCTAGTTGTGACACCCAAAGAATAGCGTCTGGTTTTACAGAGCATCTCATTTATACTCAGGATACAGCGAAGCACTTTACAAAGCAATACATTATGGGAGATAACAGTAACAGAGGGTCTGTGAGACAAAAAAAGAGGCTACTTTGAATACAGACTCAATTTCAAACATTAAAAGGGGATTCGTTGAGAGAAAGCATGTAGTTCAAGATAAGCAGAGTGGCTTTGCTCCCTTCCTCACAGAGACCATGGTAAGTCTTGATGCACCTGCTCTAGGAAGTCTTGCTCCCCCTGTAGAATTGAGCATTGCTTCCTTTGAGCTCTCACCATAGCCTGCATGTATTTATCTAAATATGCATAAGCTTTTATTATCAATATATGATGATGTGTCCACCTACTTTAACTAGTTGATAACCTCCTTGTGAGTAGGGACTTTTTCAGTTCAGTAAGCATTTATTGAGCACTTATAACCTAGTGAACTTTTTTTTCTTTTTTCTTTTTTTTTTTTTTTAGTGGTGAGGATGCAACAGATACAGATTCTATCCTTCAGGACCATGGTCTAGCACAAGACACAGACACAGACCCATAAAGAAAATGTTGCCTCACTTTATTCATATTCTTGAACTCTAACAGTGCCTATATGCAATAAGGAAGGACTCAATGAATGGTGGCCAATATTGAGTTTCTACCATTAGGTTGAACCATATAAAATTGTTAATATTTGACCATTTTTGACCTATAATAGTTCAACCTGCTGTGTGTCAGATATTACTATTGCCAGGTAATTTTCATGCATTATTAGATACTCACAAAAACATTGGAAGTCATACTTTCCCTTTATCACAAATGAGAAAACTGAGAGTTAAGTACATGACCAAGATTACACAGCTAATAAGGGATGGCATCAATTTTCAAACCCAAGTTTGTCTGGATCCAAAGCCCTTCCTCTTTCCCTTCCAGGGCCTCTCAGTATAATATGAGTGTTGAGTGAATGAATGAATGAATGAATGAATGAATGAATGAAAGAAATCACCAACCAAAACCAACTGGTGTTTTAATACCAGTTCTGCGTTAACACAGTGCCTGAGGATGGGCGAGTCACCTAATTACCATCTCTATGCTATCATCGGTGAAACCAGGATAATATACCTAACCTACATACCTGAAAGATTTTTGTGAAGATCAAATGAAAATATGTATATGGAAGTGCTTTGAAGAATCTAAAATACTCTACAGATGCAAAGGATATTACGTTTAAGCTTCTATAGAAGCTGTTCAAGGAGCCTAGCTATTTATGATAGCACAAAGTGAGTGTGTGGGAGGTGAGGGTGAAAGAATGGCAGACAGAGGCTGAAAGGAATGTTAAGAGGAAACTCGCATGCGGCAAAAGATATTAGTTCCCTGAGCGATATAATCCCTGAAGATGATGTCACACAATGGCCTCGGGGTAGCAGCGACCTCCACTGACAGCTTACTAGTCATGTAGATTAATTCAAGAGTCACTCCGGCCAGGGCCAGTATTGGGAATCAGTGGAGCTCAGCATATCCAAATCATGCCATGAATTCAGAAACCAGGGTGTACCAGCAGGACTAGCAACAAAGCAGCAGGATTAGAGAGTTGACTGTTCACTCATTTGGCTCTTTGCATCCTTGAAGCTTAGGCTAAGTGATCCCGAGATCCACAGTAAACAAAAGGCCACAGGAGCTTATCTTCATGCCGGTAACTGGTACAGGGTAACTATAGCAGGAAACAGTCTACACGTTGCTCAGAGCAGGCTCTAAGGGAAGACACATCTGGGTGGGAAGCCAGGCCAACCCTGTCCTCAGAAAACTGAGTCCTGGGGCAATCCCAACTGGAAGGATATAAAATGTGACTTAATCAATAATTAAGTCAAAAATATTCCAAGCACCATCCTTTAATGCAGTCAGGACACTATTTAGAGTGATTCAATTAAGGAGATTATGACTGGAATATGACAGGCAGTGAGTGAAGTTAATATTAAAATGCCAGAACTATGTATCAGGTCCAGTTTCCCAAGCTACCAATAAAGACAGAAAGTTAGGAGACATAGGCTTAAAATGTGTCACATTAGAGAGTGGGGAAACAAGAATTCTCATATAATGGAACAGGAGTATAACCTTTTTGGAGGCCAAAGTGGTAGTATCTATCGAAATTTTAATATCAAGACAAAATAAAATTCAAAGGCAAAAACATCAAAAGGGACATTAAGTGATATCACATATAGGTACCAGGAAGATGCAATCATTATGAACACATATTCATGTATAAGGCAACAACTAAAATTTACATGGGAAGATACAGACAAATCCAACTGACAAAAGATCTTATTAACTAAGACATAAAAGATTTTTTTAAAGCATGAGTTACAAGTTTGAACTAGTTCGGATACCTAGAAATGCATATAGAATAGAGAATAGATGTT